CAGGACGAGGCTGGAGAAGGGCTTCATGAAATTCTGCAAGCAAGCGGGCCGCGAATGCATCGGCAAAATAAACGAGGCCCTGGCGAAAACCTACCGGGGACAGTCGCTAATATTCAAAATGAAACCGTCCTCTGTCCCGTCGGTCACCATCCAAAACGCAATGGCAAAATTTCATGACCAGTACACGGTCACACTGTTCACCACAAAGGACAGGAAGGTCTTACTGTCAGGAACAATAAACGCCGATGTGACGTCTGACTTCAGCGGCAGCTACGATCCGAGGATCTCCAATTTCAGGTTCAAGCCGCAGAGCAACGCACTCAAGTTCACGCCGGAAGAAATGAAAAGCGTCACAGAAGCTGTGAGGAACACCTACCAAGAATTCATCAGCGCTATGTTTCGTCAGAGCTTCGCCTTGCCGAGATTCCCCTTCTTCGATATCCTGCACCTCCAGACGGCGCCGATGCCTAACGGCATACACTTCAACTTCGATGTCAGATATTCCGGTGCTGCAATCAGTCCCATTATGACAAACGTGTTCAATGATATCATTACTTTTTAAGGACATTTTCCTCAACTGTTTCATATTGACTTTTAAAGATTTCTAAAAACTTTTTTATTAGGTGTACGAATGTTTATTGGGTCAGTTGCTATGTGTGTTTAAATTTTGTAATGTCATTCGTATTGTTTCGGTTGCATAAATTGGTTCAATTAAACAATTATGAAATACGGTTACTAGTGAATAGTTATTTTTTGGCATGGTGATTCTTTGATCTGCAGAACAGTCGGGCTGATAAGAACACGATGGTTAGATAACAACTTGACCAGGAAGAAACGGCTTCAAACAGAAGCTGATTCGCTCACGAGGCGCGATTAGGAAACAATCTTCTGCGCCTTAATTCCGATTGGCTAATTGGTTCACGACTAGGAAGAAGTCGTCCAATCCTGGTGGTTCATTAATCAACTGACAGTGACGAATGGTATGAAGGGTCTATCACTGTGAACTGCATATCGACAAGAAAGAGTTTGTCTGCGTGTGACTGTGCATTTCTGAAAAGAGCTGTTTTACTACGAAAAAGTAGAAAATTATCACCCATATAACGTCTTTCGGTATCAGTATTTGAAATATACGTTCTGTCCAGACATTTTCCGAGAAATTCAGCGAAAAACTTAAGCGACAACAGAAAAAATGTGCATACTGCAGTCAGCTGATGTTTGGTAGCAGAAAATGGACATAACACTGTTGATATAGAAGAATATCTTAACGGTGAAAGAGTTGAGGATAATGCAATCTGAACGACCTCACTTCGGTTTGAGCACTCACACGCTTTTCTTACATTAATGTTTTTGGACAGATGACACAGTGTATGAGGTCGTCTTCGAACGCCAGAGGTGTGTGACTCGAATCTTGGAAAAAGTTTCCTAATGTTGAACAATGAAATGAAGCAATGTTGCACGGGTGCAACCAGCCAATTAACTGATGCAAGATGCTGACTCGCAAGCGGCATGATCAAACGGTTATCCGGTGTTTCAATATCAAAATAAGTGAGGAGCACAGTCATGCTGTTCGACGCCAGAGTCTCTTATGGCTTCAGTTCGCCGCCTTTACCCACCTGATAGCTGACTCTGTGAAAATAAGCACGATGAGTAAACCCTGTTGTTATTGTTCTTGCATGGTTTGGGCATCCAACTGCAAAGAACTATGGTACAGTTTTGCTGAACAGTTGACTTGTCTCGTCACCAATAACATTCGGGCTATGAGATCTGTCCAGAAAATAGCCGTCTTTGTTCGACACATAAAAGGTTATTTAAGATTAACAGAACATTCGAGTAATATGCAACGGACTGCAATCGAAAAGTCTTCCAGTTTCCTAACTCCCTGTTCTCTTGAGGTTGGTGAGACTAGAGTTCAAGTAGCTTTCGCAACGGTCGTGATCCTGCGCCAATTACTGCAGCTGTGTGGACTGAATTTTACGGCAAAAACAGACCAGGCGCGGAATTCGATCGAATAATTTATTTTTAGGCCTTAGGCTCGTAGCAGGCGGCATTGGGGTTTATGCGAAAAACTCGCCTTGTTTTTTATCCTCTGGTATCTTTTTGACGT